GTGTGTGTGTGTGTGTGTGTGTGTGTGTGTGTGTGTGTGTGTGTGTGTGTGCGTATTTTCTTCCTTTTAAGTTTATTTCTTTAATTTTGTTATACCTTTTTTTATGATTTATTAATGCGAATTTTGTTAGGCTGATGCCATTGTATTAGCTCAGTCATTTTGTTCTTTTTATAATGTATACACTATGCCTCGGCGTTGTAGGACCTTGAGTCCATTGTCTACTAAATAAATTCAACTCAACTCAACTCTCTCTCGACACTACGTGTCATAACAGCCGGAGTTCCTCGAGGGGCCAAACTATCGCTACTCCTCTTCAAAATCTACCGCCACAACATTACTCATGATGGTCGCATCTAAACTGTACAATACGCATTTGACATCGCCATAATCCGAACAACTAAAACGATCACGAACTGTACCAACCTGCTTAACAAGCACCTAAATCGACGAACTGGGTGGTAAAACATCTGGCGCATTTTCATTAAAGAGGGGAAAACCGAAGCCGTATTCGTTTCAAAACGTAATCGGACTTCTCCATAAATACTAGTCAACTCCCGTCCAATAAAGTGGAGTAACTCGTTCAAATATCTCGGCGTTACCTTCGACAGACGACTCATCTGGAGCAAGCATGTACAGTCTACCCAACACAAGGCAAAGGTAGCCTTCGTATCTTTACAGCCTTTTTTCAATAACCTAAAGGTCTCACATCGAACCAAGCTACGAGCCTTCTCAGCTATCATCCGCACTGTCAGTACTTATGCCATACCAGTATGGAATACATCCAAAGGCCTAAACTGCCTCGAAGGAACCTTCATTAGACTACTAAGATCCTTTCTTGGCATCCCTTGATTCATTAGGAATAAACAAATCCTAAAGGAGATTCTCATCATCTTCCCCGCTCAAGCTACTCCGATCTTCGCTGCAAATCTCCGCAAGTCTGTGGTTTCGCATACAAAGTGATACGAATCCTCTGATCTCTTCGCTAGAAAGTTTCGCTCCTAAATGCTCCTGCAACCTGCTAGTCACCCAGGCCTAGCTTTTCACCCGGCACGTCCCTGTTAGTGTTAATTAGCCAGTAAGACTCAACTTTCACAAACCAGATTAACACCAACTCTAGGTGCTAAGAAGAAAATGCCAAGAGTCGAAAGATCCTCGACAGCTCAGCCAGATCGAGCGACATCTCCTCTGCTCAACGAGACCTGACATCTCCCCCCGAGAGGTCGTCATTCTGCCCGAGGTACCAAAAGTCAAAGCGCACTCGATAGAAACACATTGATCCAGTAAAATTAAAAATACCAGCATGTAGTTTGGAAAATTTCACATCGATTTGATCTACTTAAAGTGTTTGGACAAGCATAAAATTTTGAGACAAAATTGTAAAATTTTGATCTAATAAAATCGAAAAGAGTCGAATTCAATGTGAGTTTGTGTTGGTGTCAACCTAAACACCATATACATACATATATGCCAAGCATCAGAGCTAGCGCTTCGCAACAAACTTCGTAAGAACAGATGGAGGAAGATAACGACGCAACAGCTGGTCTACTTCTCCTTCTTTCCTTACGCGTTAATAATTTTATCCCAATACTTATCATCCAGTGAAACTAAATAGTCCTTTTCTATCGTTTTTTTCTTGTCCAAGCTATTTTTTTTTAAAATGATATAATTAAATAAGTGGACGCGCAAGCCTGGATGTTTTTGTTCATACATTTGATCAAAGTTTTCTCAATGAAATACGACAATGACATGTTGCATTTGTATCTTTTTTTTAGCACTTTTAAAATATTAAAGGCCGTCAAACCCAAAAATTGCGAGAACTATACCCTAGTGTCACTTATTTTTGATTACATTAATATCATAGACAAGCGAATTCTGGAGCCAATATTGCTGCCATATGATATTCCTTAGCAAGTAAGCATATGTTCCAAAAAATAACAACAACATATGTGAAGAAACTAAAGGAAGACGGAAAAAATACGGATAATCATTCCTTCTCCCTCCCACGAGATAGAACAGATACGTTCTAAGAACTTATGTACACTCGCTGTATCTTAATTCGAAAACCGCAAAATTCAAATACTAATAACTGTTTATAAGATTTAAACGCAAGTAATAGCTATACCATTAAAGTAAGAATATAGAACAGTAATAACTACGACACAAATAATTAATGAACACAGTTATTGCCATTTGTTATGTTCATGATCCTTATTTATTATGAAATACTTAAAACTCTTATTGTCTCTAGCCATTGTGGTGACGATAAGTAAGCAAGATTTTTGGTTATATAAGCCCATGGTTTTCTTCACAAGCAATTCATTTGATGATCAGGCCAGCTTGGGTGTTAAAGATAGAACCAAGAAAAGTCACAGAATGAACGTGAGAAAAACTTAAAAGGAATTATCTAATATCATAAGGTTTTATTCAGTATTAAATTATAAAAAGAGCTGATTCCAACACCTACCTATCTATACTGCTTTCAGTAAGCAACTGCCCGTTTCGCTCGTACACCACACCGGCGTGGCGTGACACTATACTCTCTGTCTCTTCCCCTTCTTTCCTCCTACCTCACTCATACATACTCTACTATCTGTCAGCGCCAGCATACTTAAGCATATATGTAGATGTACATTTTACATTATTATACGAAAAATTGACTGGGGCCGCGTACCTGTGTACATTACGTTATGCTGAAGCAGAGTACCTGTCACCTGAACGGCATAGGTTGTCCATGACATTTCTATCCTTTGTGGCTTGATAGCAAGCAGAGACTTTACTCTCCCCTGATAGTCGACACACCGCCTCAGTGCTTAACTGAATTTTCTCTCTTCTACTTTATTCCGGTATCTAGTCAACCACTCGTGAACCGCTTAAATTCTATAGAAGTAATAATAATCAAACAGACTTTCTTCCACGGACCGTCGGGTATAGCTACGTCCTCACACATCCCATCCCTAGCTATTGTGACGTGACAAATCAACGTCACGGTAATCATACTTACTTATCAGACAAAAGAAGAGGTGGCACGATGCTACCAAGCCTTACCATATCCTATTCCTGTGTACACACACCCTTCCCGGTCCAAAAAAAACATCAAGTAGTTGTGGCATGAATACCATCTATACACCAACGGTATGAAAGAAGTCATGCGTAAAACGCTTCGATTCACATAGCTACTTCAGGTAGAATGGTATAAGATGTGCTAAAACGAATATAGCATGGTCTGCTACCTTATACACTGTGACACGCAGAAGTAGCGCGTGGAGTCCACGCAAGAAGTGTTTCGTTTTTTACTCACGCTGATTTTGAGTAAAAGCTATGCATGGCATGCACAGGCAACTCAGGTAATATATATATGCATTCCTTTCACTAAGTTGGTGGTTTTCACTGTACTTATTGTAAGATATACATTATCTACTAATCTTACTAATATATAAAGCAAAGTGGCTAAAACCGTTGTAATCGCTAACTGCAGAAACTACTAAACCGATTTTGCTGATATTTTGCGAACTGATTCATGATAATTCCGAGATGGTTTTCGCATAGTTTTTTTCTTGAAAAAGTTGATAACAATAGCGATATATAAGCTCAAAGTTTTGCTAAAATTATCTAGCTTTGCGCTTCATTTCAGTAGGATCTGCTAGGTGGCATCGAGGTAAAATTGAAGCCACCCGCAATCAAAGATAGTGGAAAGTGGTTATAAGATACCCCATTACATTGTCGATTATTGCAGTCGTTTATCGGCACTACACTGAAAACAGAGTTGATAGTCATGCAGCTGGGCATTTCAGCTACCGATGACACTCTTCTTTCATGGGACAGCGAAATAAATCGGTTTTTACCGCGGATCGCCCAGATAACCGAGTGCCACGGAAAAATAGGCGTTCGGAAAGGCAACGTCTCCGGTGAAATACCAGGAGACGTGTCCAGCCAGAGCTCAACCTCCTCAAAGACTTGAAAGTTTTTTGGCTCTTCAACCAGTCGCCCTGGTACCATGAGAGAATTTTCTACTTCAAATACAAGCCAAGGAAGACAGCCCTGAAGAGTACGGGCAGCCACAACGGCCTCCTTCTTAGTGATCGTCCCAACGGCATACCTACAGAGAAGAAATTCGCCAAGCCTACTTTCCCGACTTACGATGAGCGGTTGGTGATCCGGAAACGACCTGAAGACGAGATATGCTTTGGTCAGCGGCGTATCTCCCTCCAGTACGATCTCCGAACACAGAGACTTCAAGGATAAGAGTCAAGCTACCCGCAGCTGGCTCTCCAACATCAAGAATACTAATAAGGAATAACTGGAAATTTCACCACTGGTCTTTTTCACGGCCAATATAAGTACGTTCTCTACTTAACCATCAATCTCATCGGTTCTTTTAATCACCATCTAAGTTTAAACTACCTTGCCAACAAATACATTTTTACTACCATTTCCGGACATGTTATGCTAAAAGACTATGTAACGCCGGCCACTATTAAACTAAGTCAGTCATTCACTGGCAGATGTCACAAGCGGAGTTGTTCATTGGAAGGCTGGGAGCCCCGGTGACCGTCGACCCTATATTACCCTCTGAGCATTTAACCAGGAATTACTGATCCTCTCCAAGGTCTGCGCTGGAAGAACCTAACAGCTATAAAGGAAAGATGAACTTGAACCAACGGGACAGTCTTCAACGGGCAAGCGTCACGAACCAATCTCTCCACCTTAGATCACCAAAACAACTGAGTCTGCATAAAAAGAAGGTCCTTTAGACACCAACGTCTTCGACGTTACATCAGGAGACGTTGGGAAAGAGCTCTACAACTATCTCCAAAGCTTCAAACGTTGTAGTTTTCCTCTTGATCAGTGTGGTGCTACAATAATAGGCCAGAGAAGATCACCCTTAGGTACAGAGGCAATTACGTTTTGCTGGAAACTTCAGTCAAGAAAGAGTTTACTTAAGAAGCTCACTGGTCCTTTTTAGGGCTATCGATCGTCCAACTACCTTTTTAACAAATATATATTACAACCTAATAAAGTTGAAAAAAATAGCCTTTAGGGCTCGCTAAAGTCTTAACTATGCCAAAAGTCGCATGAAGTCAAATTGGAAGAAAAACTTCAAATGAAAATAATGAATACAATTTTAGGCGTCAAGAAACTGATGCTGAATATTCATCAAGATTAAAACAGCATCAAAATCGATAAATAAAGAATTTATTAAGTGAGAGATAAGCTTTCCACTATAACCCTCATTGTAATATCTTGAATCTTCCAGATTTTTAAATATGTAGAATATGTATTTGTATTTTTGTGGCGATAAAAAAACGTAGAGATTAAGCTCCAGGACTTTGTTGCTATGGTAATAAAGTTGTTGAGATACGAGATAAAAATTTTTTTTAATAATATATTGTGAGTTTCAACTCAATACAGCTTTAAAAAATAGTCCTGTTCGTAGATTATACGGGAAAAACTGCAAATCAACGGCTATTTAGGGACAACGATTATTTTGTGGCATAAGGAATGCATGGTATTTTTCAGCATAATTATATTTTTTTTTTACTTTTTACAGCTTTTTACTTGATCAAATAAGCTGTATGGATTCCGAACAAATATGTTTTTAATAAGACGATTTTTGTTTTGAAAATTGTCACAAATAGATGTAAAATTTTCAACTAAAAACGTTTTACATTACATGTCAACGCACTACAGTGATCGATTTAGTGAGTCTCGAGCGAAGCTGAGATGGGGGGGGGCGCTAGTATTACATATTCTCGTGAATTTAAAAGCTATGATAAAGTAAGCTCAAAAATAATTTGCTTACATCAACATGGCAACATAACCTTAATAATTGAAAATAATTTAGACTCATCTATAGACAATATATTAGTTATTGATGCATAGTTCTACTTCCATCTGCCATTTATCGATGTGATAATCAGCATAGTACAATATTTTTTTAATCTATCGTTTAACATATGGTGATAAAAAGTATGCTTTTTTCATTTAACTAAAGCAGTTTTCAAAAAGTCTTATAAAAATTGTCCATTACGAATATTTTCATGAGCATTTACAATTTTTTGGTGACTGAAGTTATAAAAATTTTTAATTTGTTAACATCATATTTTTTTATTTGTACAAATCATTCGTTAACAATTAATCACAGAAAATAAAGACGATCACCATGATTTATCATTTTCAGGAGGAAAACACATCGAATAGAAAAAAAAATTCCGTGGACTCGAATCTTTTACAGGCTTTTATCAGCAAAACCTAACTAATCTACACATCGCATCAGCTGTAGTGCAAAATACATGTACATCAAATGAACTTTGTACTGGGATCTGATCAACACTGACAGTACCAACAGCTCATGTAAATTTACATAAAGTGGCGGTTTTTCTAATCCTCCATACGAGGCTAGCCAGTCTATGCTTTGCCTCACTCCCACCCTGACCGTTGTTCGGTTCCCAATAGCTTTTACTCAAATTCAGCATAATTACACATGAAACCGTGGGCTCCACGCACTATTTCCGTGTGTGTCACAGTGTAAAAACTATAGTAGACTATATTTGTCTCAGTGCATCTTATGCAATATACACTTGAAATTCAAGCGTTGCATACGTGACTCGAGAGTCATACTAACGCAGTGTAGGTTCTTATGCTTGAACTGCTTAATTTTTTTTTTCCGGGCGCTTTTGAAAGTATACTGTGTGCAGCAGCTAGTATGTGTGCATATTAACGTCAGAGCTGCGTAGAAAATTATATTTAATGTCACAACCGAACTTAATTGGCGCTATCGATAGTAAGCAGCCCAGTGAAGTACGATTAGGACAAAATTCAAAAGTGATTCCAGAATCCCGAGAAAGTCAAAAAATTTAAACCCAAGTTCTTTAATCCAATAACCCGGTCATCCTAAAGTCTTTAACCCCTAGTTCAGAAATCTCAAAACCTTTAACCACATAACTCAATTTATCATGAATCTGTTGCCATAAACAGTCATACATGCATGAATTAAAAATTAATATGAGCGTAAATCACCAGGTAACCAGGAGAACTTACCGTCCACTTTATGTGTTAAGAAATCGTTATTTTTTAACACAAGCACCAATCACCACAAAACCCAGGGCACCTACTGGCCATTTCATTAACGAATAAAGTATGGTGAACATTTTTTTTTTTTCAAATATTCAAAAAAATATACACTAATTATTCTTTCAGTGAAAACCCACCAATTTATTTTAAAAATTTGTTAACAACACAACAATTGACAAATATTACATCTGTAGCAAAACTCTTGTATTACCAAAAAGAGCAATGAATACAAAAATCATTTTTTAAGCGGTTGCAAGTAAAGATGCAATACAACCCTTATGGATTGAAACAAAAAATGTATTGAAAAC